GGGTAAAGCTGCCACTTGCAGTGCTAGATCCCATATGGGCACCAGTTTTGAGTCCCGGTTACTCCACTTCCTATCCAGCTCTCTGCCATGGCCCAAGTGCTTGGGCCAAGGAACTCCCGGCTCCTGGCTTTAGTTGGGCACAGCTCCAAATGTTGCAGTCAGTTGGGGAGTGAACCAGCGGATGGAAGACCTCTCTCTCTCTTTCTCTCTGTCTCTCTCTCCCTGCCTCTCCTTCTCTCTCTGTGTAACTCTTTCAAATAAATAAATAAGTCTTAAAAAAAAATACTATTTCATGACCAGGGGAAAGGCAAAGATTTCTCAAAGAAGACATTCACACAAGTCTCTAATAATAAAAATAAATAAATAAATAAATAAATAAAAGACTAATAAATTAGATTTCAGGGGCTGGTACTGTGGTATAACAGGTGAACTCTTGGCCTACATCACTGGCTTCCCATATGGGCTCCAGTTCCTGTCCCAGCTGCTCCATTTCTGATCCAGGTCCCTGCTAATGGCCTGAGAAAAGCAGCAGAAGACAGTCCAAGTGTTTGGGTCCTGCCACCCACATAGAGAGGCCTGGATGAAGCTCCTGGCTCCTGGCTTCAGCCCTGGTCCAACACTGGCAGTTGCAGTCATCTGGGGAGTTCAGGTTCAGGTAGATAGAAGATTGATCAATCTCTCTTTTATCCCTCTTTCTGACTTTCCAATAGTCTTTTTTAAACATTAATTTCATTATCTGGTCACCAAAAATAATACCAACCTGTGAGTAAAAAGGCATGCCACAAACCAGATTATTGCAATATATATATAACTATCAAAGCAAATCTAATCTATGAGAAATCCCATAAATTAATAATGAAAGACATGGGCCGGCACTGTGGCGCAGCCAGTGAAAGCCCTGGCTTGAAGCGCCAACATCCCATATGGGCGTCGGTTCCAGTCCCGGCTGCTCTTTTTCCAATCCAGCTCTCTGCTGTGGCCTGGGAAGGCAATGGAAGATGGCCCAAGTCCTTGGGCCCTGGCACCCATGTGGGATACCCGGAGGAAGTTCCTGGCTCCTGGCTTCGGATCAACGCAGCTCTGGCCATTGTGGCATCTTGGGAGTGAAATACTTCTGTCTGTAACTCTGTCTTTTTCAAATAAAACAAATCTTTAAAAAAAAAAAAAAGTCACAAAGCACATGTCCAAGGACTTGCTCAATTTATTAAAAAAAATAATGAAAGACAATGAAATGTTCTTAAATAGGTTAAAGATTTGAATAAATATTCCAAAATGTGGCTATTCCAGTGGTCAATAATGTGACAAAATGTTCAACTTCACTATCAAATTACATAGAATTACAGTCCTCCAGAAAGGCTAAAATTAAAAGGACAGACAATACCATGTTTTGGCAAGAATGTGGAGCAACTAGAACTCTCATAGGCTCTTGGTGGGAGTGTAACACGATACAACGACTTTGGGGAATAGGCCATTTAAATTTTTTTTTTAATTAAAAAAAAATGACCCAGGAACTACATTTCTTACATATATACCAAACTAAAATAAGTATTTATATACATCAAAAGTCATGGATAAAAATGTTCACAGCTTTATTGATAATAGCTAAAAACTAGTAACAACCTCAACATCACCAACAAAAGATTGCGAAGTATGGTATATTCAGACCATGGATTATTACAACGCAATAAAAGGTAACAAACTAATCCTATTGCAATGAAATGAATGAAATAACCAGGCACAACAGAGTACACTGCATGAGTCCTTGTGAATGGTGTGCAAAACCAGTCAACTCTGGGGCTGGCATTGTGGTGTAGCAGGTAAGCAGTACTAGCATCCCACATGGGTGCCAGTTCAAGTCCCAGCTGCTCCACCTCTGATCCAGCTCTCTGCTAATGTGTCTATTAGAATGCAAATGTTTTAAAATGTCAGCGCAGGAACCAGCATTGTGGTATAGCAGGTTAAACTGTCATGTGCAGCCCTGGCAACCCCTACGGGCACAGGCACGGGTATAAGTCCAGTGGTTCCACTTCTGATCCAGCTCCCCGCTAATGCACCTGGGAAAGCAGTGGAGGATAGCCCAAGTGCTTGGGCCCCTGATCCCACGTGGGGAACCCGAAAGAAGCTCCTGATTCCTGGGTTCAGCCTGGTCCAATCCTGGTCATTAAGGCCACTAGGGGAGTGAACCAGCAGATGGAAGATCTCTCTCTCTCATCTCTCCCTCTCTAATTCTGCCTTTCAAATAAAATAAAATAAAAATAGAACTTAAAAAAAAAGTTAGCATAAACTAATCACAGAAGTTAAACATTATACTGAAGGAACCATCATTTCTGAATTTCTCAGCCATGCAGCTTCTCTCCGTCTGTCATTCTTTCAAATACATAAATAAATTTTCAAAAGAGAAGAGAGAATCTTTAGCTTCAATGTGGTCTTCCAGTCCTGGTGGAATTACAAAATATCAGCACACAAAGCTACTGGGAGCTATATTAGCCGGTCAAGATCACCATCAAGTGTTAAAGGGCAAAAGGTACAGATGTGATTTAGCATCTGAAGAGCAGCACTCCTCTGAATCAGTGGGGCTGAGCCTTGTCTGGGTGGGGACCGCTGAGTCTTCTGGGTAGCTAAATGCAAGAGGCACAGGCACCGACCACATCCACCTCCTTCCTGCACGCCACACGCTGTTTAGTAACTCATCCACTCCAACCTCTGCTTTCCTCGGCGCCGTGAACCCAGGTAAACCCAATCCAGAGCCTGTGTTGGAATTTGAACCAGGTGACTCGGATCCAGAGCCCAGGAGCTCAACCTTGACACCACAGTGCTGCACACTGTGCACAGCTGACACCAGGCCTACTGTTTTAAACCGCAGGAAAATAGAACAGTGAGCCTGAAAAGAAATAAACAAAGGACACGTTTTTACGAAATGTGCAGCTCTTTTCGGTCAGTAGAGTTTGAGTTGTTCCGATCAACAGACACCACAAGCACCAAGAAATTCTGTCGGAGGCTTTAACCATTTTTGCACAACATTTTTGGCAGAGTTTTATATCGGGAATGTTGCAACTCTGAGGCTGGTGGCACAGTCTTTCATTTTATGGTATTGTATGTTATGTAACACACATGTGTGTGCATCCGTGTACATAGCCTATATTCATCTCACTTTCTCTGGAGTGATTCAAATAGCATCAGGGTACTTCAGGAAGCTACTGGTTAATGGAATGAAAAGATCAATTTTGGTGAAAAAATTCTGAAATCCAGGCACATGAGAAGTCTGCAAAAAGTTAATGGAAAATGATTACAACAAAAACCTGTGCAAGGATTTCAATGTTTTTGCACCAAAATTAAACTCGTGTATTAGTCCACTTACCATTACATTTAAAAATTTTTAATTTATTTGAAAGAGAGAGAGACCTAGATCTCCCATCTGCTGGTTCAGTTCCAAATGCCTTCAACAATCCAAGGTTCAGTCAAGCCAAAGCCAGGAGCCAGGAACTCTATCTGGGCCTCCCACGTGGGTGGCAGGGGCCCAACCAGCCATCACCTGCTGCCTCCCACAGTCTGCATCCACTGCAAGCCACCACAATCAGGAGTAAAACCAGGACTGGAACCCAGGCACTCTGATATGGGATGCAGGCGTCTGAGTCGCTCTGCTGAACACCTACCCCTCCTCTAATCTTTCAATGTACCCTCATGTGTTTTTTTTTTAATGTTTAAGTGCATTAACAGCCCAAGGTAGCCAAAATACCAGCTGTGAAAAAAGAGGAGACTTCACGAATGAGGTGTGGGCCCAGAGTTTGCGAGCTGAGCCAGGTGGGCTCACAGAGGCTCATTCTGGCAGTATCAAATTATAACATGGAAATTTCAGATATAACAACTTTTTCAATTTTTCTAGATGAGATTGCCTAACACAGCACAGGCACACAGCTGACAACACAGCGCGCGGGGGCGGGGGGGGGGCGTTTATTATATTGGAATAACAAACGCACGTAGCCAATTTGAAATCACTCACTGGACCCTGCACTAACTGCAGCTGAGCGCTGGCTAAAAATCAAGGCTCCCTCTAGATATCTTGTGGGCAACTGACCGCCAGGTATGCAGTCGCCCTACAGCCACGTAACCCACCACGATAAACCCTTAGGAATCAAACACTCTTTCTCACGGGCCTTTGCTACCATGGAATGACTTGGAGCGTTAGAAGTACTTCTTGCAGAATTCACCGAAAGGGTGGTTTCATTTCCAGCCAGGACGGTCCCGGTCCCGCCGCCCCCTATGCTGAGCCCGCCCCTCAGCCCAGCAGTTCGCTCCTCGCCCTAGCGCGAAGGTGGCGGCTCTGGCCCAGCAGGGCTGCTTCCCCAGCTTCTGTGTCACGCGCTCGCCAGCCAGGCTCCCTGGCCCTCAGTCTCCCTTCCCCGCGCCGCCAGCGCCGGCGGGGCGGCCCCCGCAAACCACGCGGGACCGCGGGGCGCACGGCCATCTGGAGCGGCCGGCGTGCTGGGCGCGGAAGCGGGGCGGGAGGGGGGGAGGTGGCTGAGGTGCGGGATCGAGAAAGATCTGGGAGGATCTGGAAGCCAGCTGTGGGGAGGGCCCCGGGAGAGCGCTGAGGGAGTGGTCCCCAGAGTCGCAGGGCCCCCCGAAGGGAGCCGGGCAGTGCGCGGAGTGACCCGGAAAACGTACCCGTCCAAGCGCCCTAAAGCACTAAAACAGCCAGAACCGGCTCGGCCGCCGCCGACTCTAGAAAGTTCTCCGCCCCCGCCCCCTCCGTCTCCCGCTCGCGCGCCAGCTCCTCCCAGCCCCTCCCTCGCGGCGGGGTGGGACCAATCGCGCCCTCAGCCGCCGTCCACCTCCGCCGCGGGCTCCGAGCGCGCCGGCTGCAGAGAGCGCGAGCTGCGGCCAGTCCGCACGCCCGGCAGCCGCCAGTGCCGTCGCCGCACGCCTCACGGGCAGGTCCGGCGTTCGGGAGGGTTTGGCTCGCGCTGCGCTCGGTCCACGGACTCAGCGGGCTCCGAGCGGCCATGACCGCCGAGGAGATGAAGGCGGCCGAGAGCGGGGCGCAGTCGGCGCCGCTGCCCCTCGAGGGCGTGGACATCAGCCCCAAGCAAGACGAAGGCGTGCTGAAGGTGAGGGCTGGGCGGCTGCGGCGGGAGCGGCCGCCGGGTCCCGTAGCCCGCGGCCGTCGCGTTGCCTTCCCGGGCCGGGCGGCGTTACCCGGGGTGGCAGAGGCTTCCACACGGCCGGAAGGAGTCGGTGCGGGTGCGCGGGTCACGGCGTAGCCGTCTTCTGGCTCCCGGACAGCCAGGGGTCTGGGCCCAGGCCCTCGCCTTCCGCGCCCGGGCCGGGCAGGGGCCGAGCCTGCGGCGCCAACTCCGGCGTGCACGGGGCGGTCGAGAGGGGCGGGGCGCCCGCGGGCCGCGCACCGCGCCGGCCCCCGCACCGCCCCTCGTTCACCTGTCCCCGACCCCACGGTCCGGCCGGGCTGCCCAATGGAGATGGGAAGTCCCTGGATCGCCCGATCGCTGATGGTGTGAGAGCGCGTCCGCCCTAGCGGTGAGACGGTGGCTTGGACGCGAAGCGGCTCCCGGAGTCATTTCCTGGCCCGGAGCTCTTTGTGTGACCCGTTGCCCTCGGCGCCCCACCACCACCACGCTCGGCGCCCCGGGTTCCAAACGCTGGCGCTCGCCCGGGGTCACCTGCTCAACCCAGCCATGCCCGCTCCCTCGGCCCAGGGAGGGCCAGGAGCAGTGCCTGCCGGGACCTGTAGTTCCGGTAATCCTCGCCGCCCCCCCTCCCCGGGCGAGGCTTTAAGTGTAGGGCGAGGAGGAGGAGGGTCTTTGCTTCGGCGCCTGAGGAGGGCGGGGGAGGCACCTTTGAACCGGGTCTGGCCAGCCTGTGGTTATGCCTAACCCGTTCTGCAGAAAGCCCAGGGTGGTAACCTCCCGGCTGGCGTTTCATACCTTGTCTCCATCCTCTGCATCTGCCTACCTGGCCGCCCACTGCTCAGCCCAGCCATTGTGCAAAGCCAGAGGCTTCAGGGAGCTTGACCTGGTGCAAGCAGTCCGCCTGGCTTTCAACCATGTGCCTGCGGCCGCGAGCCCCTGCCCCAGCTGCTCCCACGTGGCCATGTGGCTTCCCGGTTGTCTGCAGCACCTTGCTGTTTTCTACAAGGTTATTACTCTGGGAAGGGTCATTCCCCTTCACCCTCCAGCCCTGGCCTTTGTCTTTTCTACTCCTCACGGCCTGGGGTCAGAAGCCAGTGTTCCTGGGAAGTATTCTTACCTGAACAGGGCTTATTTGGCTCCCAGGTCAGGGCCTGTTGGGGCCTGGGGTCAGAAGCCAGTGTTCCTGGGAAGTATTCTTACCTGAACAGGGCTTATTTGGCTCCCAGGTCAGGGCCTGTTGGAGAGCCTGCGTGCTCACCAGTCACCCAGTGTGCTCGACCCATTGCAAACTGTCCTGTTCTCAGTACTGATGCTCCTCTCCTTCGGCTGCCTCCAAAGCAGGCCCTGGTCTGATGGCCACTGGCGCTTGGGAAGAATGAGGAAATATTGCAAGGATACGTCCCCCTTTGCTGCTGCTGACAACCCTTTATCCAACCTTTGCTGTGTGATCTTGCAAGATCTCAGGGATCATCATAGCTGGGCAGCTTATCCCACAGCATACAGCAAAAACTGGAGCTCGGCTCTTGTCTCCAGTTTACCAGCTCAGTCTTGCAGCACCTCTAGAAAGCTGGGAGTCACTTGAGGATTGGGGCCCTCAAATCTGGGTAGAGGCAAGAGTCCCCTTAGGTTTGCTGCAGAGGTGTGCGCTTTGCTGCCCTTTCTGCCCCACCCCCGGGTTACTCACCCTCTTCACTTCTTCCCAGGTCATCAAGCGAGAGGGCACAGGCACCGAGACACCCATGATCGGGGACCGAGTCTTTGTCCACTACACTGGCTGGCTCTTGGATGGCACGAAGTTTGACTCCAGTCTGGACCGCAAGGACAAATTCTCCTTTGACCTGGGAAAAGGTAGGCATGGCTAGTGGGCTGGCCGGAAGGCTTCGGGGTGGCTAGGAGCTATCTGGCGAGCTGAAAGCATATTCCCAGAACCCAGCTCAAGGTGGGGTGGCTTACTGCAGACTGTGTCCGTCACTCTTTTTCTTCTTTCTGTTCTGTGACTCTGGTGATTGCTGTCTCCCCACACACACACCTTTTCACCTTGACTCCCTCTTTGGGGGTGCACAGTCCTGCTTCTTGAACTTGTTTGTCCCGGGATTGAGTTTTAGGTTAAGAGTTCAGAGACAGCAGCACTTCATGCAGCCAGGCCTCTTAGCTCCTGGTGCATTTCTCGGGTGACACTGAACAGAGACCCTTGCTGAGAGGGTCCTGTTTGCCTCTGTATCTGCAGGGGAGGTCATCAAGGCTTGGGACATTGCTGTTGCAACCATGAAGGTGGGGGAATTGTGCCGCATCACCTGCAAACCCGAATATGCCTACGGTTCGGCAGGCAGCCCTCCAAAGATCCCCCCCAACGCCACACTTGTGTTCGAGGTGAGTGTCCAACCACAGAGACCCGGGCACAAGGCCAGGCCTTATCTCAGCCCAGTGGCTGGCTGCCCTCCAGCCCTTCCTGCCTCTTGGAGACAATGTAGCCGAGGCTGAGAGCCTGGCCCAGGAGGAGAAATGGGGAGGGCAGCTGGCTCTGCTGCTGCCAGATGTGGCGGTAATGGAAGCTTCAGGTAGGAGGAGGTGATTGAGAGCAGCTCCTGCGGCAGATGGGTGGTGGTGGTAACTGCAAGCTCTGGGAGGACAGAAACTCGGCAGTCACAGAGACAGAGCGGAGGGCTGAGACTTGTTTGCTCTGGGCTGCAGTGGGGGCTGAGGCGAGGCCTCACTGAGGAATGGAACTGGCACTGTTGAGTCTAGGAGTGCCTGAGCCCATCAGTGGACACTCAGAGAATGCCCAGAAGATCCTGGAAGTTGTGGTGGCATGGATTGGGCTTTCTTTTTCCTCAAGGAAGGTGGATTGAGATTGTCTGAAACATGCCCTCTTGGAGTGGAGCAGACCTTGGCTCTCCTGAGTTAACTTAAATCCACATGGTCTGCACTCACCACCATCATTGAAACAACAGAGCTTCTGGTTAAAGGCCCTGGTGGTCAGATCCATCTGGTCGTTCACTAGGGACTCCTGGCTGAGGGCGAGGTGGTGGTGCACTATCGAGGAGTTCGTGGGGGAAGGATCTGTGTCATCTTGGGTCTTTGCCACAGGTGGAATTGTTTGAGTTCAAGGGAGAGGATCTGACAGACGACGAAGACGGCGGAATCATCCGCAGAATACGGACTCGGGGTGAAGGCTATGCTAGGCCCAACGATGGTGCTATTGTGGAGGGTGAGTCAGTTCCGCTGAGTCTGGGATTTGGATACTGATGCACACCTGGGGACCAGATGGTTTTGGCTAAGTCACTTCCCTTCTCTGAGCCTATTTTCTTAACTATAAGGTTTGGGATTGGACAATACACTCTTAATATCCCTCCAGGTCTGAGACCACAGCAGGGGTATCTTGGGGACAAGAAGTGATGGGTGACCTAGGGAGGCTGCTGGCATCCTTCCTTGGTCCCCTGCCCTCTCACACCCTGGCATACTGCCTCTTGCATGCTAGTCGCACTGGAAGGGTACTACAAGGACCGGCTCTTTGACCAGCGGGAACTCCGCTTTGAGGTCGGCGAGGGGGAGAGTCTGGATCTGCCTTGTGGGCTAGAGAAGGCCATTCAGCGCATGGAGAAAGGCGAACATTCCATCTTGTACCTCAAGCCCAGGTGAGCAGGGGGTGCTCTAGAGCCAGTGCCAGACCATGAGTTGTAGAGCTGGCCACTTGTGTCCTTTCCCCTTCGTGTGCTGGGTGCAACTCAACCACATGTGTGTCAAAGCGTGGCCACGATTGTCTGCCTTGGATCAAAGCATATCTTTTCAGTCATTGCTGCAGATTGTCTCCTGCCAACATTAAGATTTTAATCTCCCATTAATTGAGTCACTCGCCATTTATTGAGATGCACCTGTTAGGTACGATAGTGGTGCTGAAAATCTCGAGGTTCAGGGACTAACAGAACATTGTTCCTGCCTTCCTAAATTAGTAGTCGTACCACTGTGTGCTCACAGAAGATGCTAAGGGACCACCAAGGTCAGGGAACATTTTGCCAAACAGGAAACAATGGGCCCAGGTCTGAAAGCATGGGGTGGGGAGGTAGTTGAGAGGAAAGGGGGAAACGTTAGGGCTGCCGAGCTGACCCGGAGCCTTTCTAACCCTGCAGTTACGCGTTTGGCAATGCTGGGAAGGAAAAGTTTCAGATCCCGCCATATGCTGAGCTGAAATATGAAGTCCACCTCAAGAGTTTTGAGAAGGTGAGTTTGCACGGCGTCTTCCCTGCCCACCCAGGCGCAGATTCCGCGGGCGCTGACAGCTGTGTTTCTCCCCTGGGTGCTGGCAGGCCAAGGAGTCCTGGGAGATGAGCTCGGAGGAGAAGCTGGAGCAGAGCGCCATCGTGAAAGAGCGAGGCACCGTGTACTTCAAGGTGAGCAGACGGGGCCGCTGCTAAGCACACCCCTGGGAGGGCTGCCCTGGGGGCTTGGCACCTGCTGTGTCTGAGCTCAGTGGTCTCAGGGGCGAGGAGGAGATGGCCCCTGCCTGTGGGTCACAGGTGTCTACAAGTTGTGATAGACTGGTGACACCGAAGCTGTGCTGGGTGCCTGAACCCTCCCTCCCACTGCAGGAAGGCAAGTACAAGCAGGCTCTGCTACAGTACAAGAAGATTGTGTCTTGGCTGGAATACGAGTCAAGTTTTTCCAGTGAGGAAGTGCAAAAGGCACAGGCCCTGCGCCTGGCCTCCCACCTCAACCTGGCTATGTGTCACCTGAAGCTACAGGCCTTCTCGGCAGCCGTGGAAAGCTGTAACAAGGTGAGGCCCCTTAGAGGCTGTGGAGGCAGCGAGCACAGGCAGGGCCAAGGAAGCTTCCTGAGCAGGGCAGGAATGGTGGGAGTGCAGAGACAATGAGCCCCGAGTCGGGGGCTGTGAGTAGCACGCACCTTGGCTTTGGTGGGGAGAGATGGGGGAAGCGCTGGGTGGGAAGAACTTCGGTGTTCACCCAACGTGGTTCCCAGCCTCTCATCCACCGGCTTGATCCTAAAGACAATGGAGGTGGCAGCCTTCCTCCTCTTTGACCAGATGCCTGCTGTCGTCTTCCTCTGCCTCCTGAATGATCGAGGTTCCTACCTAGACCTCAGTCTTCTCCCTTCAATGCGCCATACCTTGTTCTTTGTGGGCTAGAGTCAGCCATTTCCGTTCCTCTTCATCCTGTGGAGCCCAGCCTTGGTCAGGCGGGCTTCAGGGCCTGCCCTCTCACTGTGCTGCCTCTTCCCCGCATCCTCAGGCCCTGGAACTGGACAGCAACAACGAGAAGGGCCTCTTCCGCCGGGGAGAGGCCCACCTGGCTGTGAACGACTTTGACCTGGCACGGGCTGACTTCCAGAAGGTCCTGCAGCTCTACCCCAGCAACAAAGCGGCTAAGGCCCAGCTGGCTGTGTGCCAGCAGCGGATCCGCAAGCAGATTGCCCGGGAGAAGAAGCTCTACGCCAACATGTTTGAGAGGCTGGCAGAGGAGGAGAACAAGGTGAGGGCCGGATAGAGCAGGGTTGGAATGAACAGAGAAAGGCACTTGCTTGTCCTCTGCTCAGCCCAGCTGGGGTGGGCTCTTCGTGGCTCGCTGTCTGTGCCAGTCCTAGAAACCAGAACTTGCCCTCTTCCCTGGAGGAGTAAGGCGAGTGTGTGTTCCCTCAGGGTCCAGAGTTAAGCCTGCCTGTCCCCAGAAGCAGTTGACCCTTCTAGCTTTTGTGCATTATTCCAACACACGTCCTACATACTTGAGGCTGCAGAAAGTACACGGAAAACATGGATCATGGAAAAAGAAGTTATGCATGGATTTCAGAAATTTTCGTGCCAAAATCACCATCTTTTCATTTCATTTTCCGTGAACTTTTTGGGGGCCCTCGTGTGAACGATACATGCATGCATGTTGCCTTCCCCCTTTCCCTCACAGAAGCAACATACTGGCTGTGTTTCAAAGAATATTAGCAGGAAGCTTCTCTTACGGTGGCATTTTAGAGAGCGTTCACATCCTTTCACACACCATATTTGACTGTGTGCATGCAGTGTGTCTTAACCAGGGCCCTGTTTCTTAGTCTTCAGTGTTAGAAAGCAACCCTGTCTAACAAAGGACGTGGGAAATTTTAAGTTCTCTGGCAGCCATGTTTACAAAGGTAAAAAGAGATGGAGTTACATTTTAATATTTTAGTTGACTCGCAGTACATGTAATTTTTGAGTTGCATGTTTATTTTCCAAACTAAGTCTTTAAGATCCAATGTATATTTTGCCCTTAGACGGCATCAGTTGAATTAGCCACATGCAGTCGTGGCTACCATACGAGTTGTGCACAGTTCTAAACTACTGCAACAAGTGACCTTGTAAGGTGTGATTCGCCTACGTACAGATTGTCCAGGACAGAGCAACGAGGAAAACTTCTGTGTAGGCCCTGCATGTGTGTTTTTACTTAGGAGGTCAGCCCCTTCCTCTTCCTGCTTGCAGGCGAAGGCAGAAGTGGCCGCAGGCGACCATCCCATGGACACAGAGATGAAGGATGAGCGGAACGACGTGGCTGGAAGCCAGTCTCAGGTGGAGACAGAAGCATAGCCTCTCTGGCCTGGCTCCTGCGACTGCCCGCCTCCTGCTCCCCTGCCCTACTCCACCCTGTTAGTTTTGTAAAAACTGAAGAATTTTGAGTGACTTAGACCTTTATTTTTCTATCTGGTTGGATGGTGGCTTTGCGAGGAGGGGGGAAAGACTAGGCTGGGAACGCTGAGGTAGGGCTGATTCTAGGGAGTGTCACCCGCCCCCCTTCCCCCATCACACGTGAATGTACATCCATCCACACACACGCAACTGAATGTTCGTGCATTTTGCTCCCTCTGTTAGGTCTACTTTGCAAATGGTAGAAGGGGGCAAGTGGTGGGGATGGGGTCTGATGTGAAACCAGGGTGGAGAGGGAGACCGACTCCTGGGCAGCTGCTTTCCTGATCCTTGTCCTCTCCCAGTCCCTTTCAAACTGTGGCCTCCAGGTGGGTGCTGGGGGTGGGGAAACCATTGCTGTGCCTGTTACCTCTCAGTCCCTTCCTCACCCCAGATGGTGTGGCTGACTGTGTCTGGTGTCCAAGACCACCCCCGTCCCCCATTCTGGTATTGGCCTTCCTAGCAGTTTCCCTTCTCAGCCAGGTTGTATCCCCACCCTCCCACCCTGTCAGCCTCTTCTCTGCACGTTGCTGAAAGTCCAGGCTCGCCTCAAGTTCTGTGCTTGAGCAATAAAGTGGAAACAATAAAACCTGGGTGTCAGGCAGCCCTTTCTGTCCAGCTCCAGAAGGGGGTACAGTGTAGATAGAGGCAAATCAGGGGAGCTGCTGACCTAGTCCCCAGCCCCACTGAAACAAGTGCAGCACCCGATGGATTCGCAGTAGTTGGGCGGGAAGCCTCCCTGCTGCACAGGGCCCCCTGAGAACTGCACAGACTACAGCCAGGACTACCATGGCCTTGCTGTAGGTTCCCAGCAGTCCACCTCCTAGACATCTAGGGTGGGGGTGGGGCATTAGTACCTCTGGTTTTCTTCCCTGACGCACAGAAGGGATTGTAAACATCTAGAAAACTGGGATCATGTTTGTTTGAAAGTGGACACATGTACTTCAGATCCAGGAGAGTTGTCTGGCCTTGCTTGCACCCTTGTGACCTGCTGGGGCCTGGGAGAAGCCAAGTGGCCAGGTCATCACGCTGAGCCTGCTCTGTGTGATCTTGGCTGTAGGTGAGAGCCTGTATCTAGGCCTGTTTCTTACGTCCTGCGTCTTCACAAACTGGTGGAGTAATCTATTCCCACACACCTGTACAATTCCCTCCAGAGGAATTGCTCCATACTTTGATCATGGAGGGTTAATTTGTGAAGAGTTTCTCCAAGTCATGCTGTACATTGAGGAATCCCATTGTTACTGCTGGGTCTCTTCTACATCTGGATCCTTTTGGTGTTTTGAAATTAGATTTGTGAGAAGCATTTAGCGTGGCAGCTGTGGCTGCTTAGGATGCCCACATCCCATGGTGGAGTGCCTGAGTTCAGGTCCCAGCTCCTGACTTTGCTAAAGTACACCCCAGGAGGCACTGGCTGAAGGTGTATGTGGTCGGATCCCTGCCATCCACATCAGAAACCCCGGGTGAGTGCCAGGCTCCTGGCTTTGACCTGATCTAGTTTCAGCTGTTGTAGGCATTTAAGGAGTGAACCAGCAGGTGGAAGATCTCTGCCAATTTGCCCTTCAAATAAAAATTAGACTCCTGCCCCTGCAGGTAGTCATAATAGCTATCTCTCATTAAGTACTTAGCATGTCAGCCTCAATTAAATGGAAAGAAAGTGTAACATGAGGTCTCCAAACATTCAAACTGTTCCATGAGGTTCAGGAGGCTGGGCAAGTCTTGAGGTACCTTCAGGTTCTGCATGCTTCTGTAAGGTTCCAATAACAAAACACAGGGCAGTAGGTTACGTAACATTAAAGCTGTTTGTGAAGATGTTTTGTTAAAATAGCTAAACATGTTTAAAGCTAAAAATAACCCTACCACATATTCCACCTCTTGGGGTCAGTGTTCAAGTATATTTTGCAGGCATCTGCACCTGCCTCACTCACTTTGTACCAGAGACTGCCTGAAAAAGGGAAATCAGTGGCATCCAGGAACTTGGAAGTGGGGTCCCTGGACAAAGCGGAATTGAGTTTATCTTGAACGAATGCTGAGCGAAACATCAGGATCTACTACGTTTCATCTCCAAAGTATTTCTAATCATCCTAGCCCCACTCCCTTCCCAACACTACCACACATGGCCAGTCTGCTGTCTTGCAAAACGCTTTTTGTTTGTTTTTTTAAGATTTATTTGAGAGGCAGAGCTACAGACAGAGAAAGGTCTTCCATCCCCTGGGTCTCCTACACAGGTGCAGGGACCCAAGCACTTGGGGCATCTTCCACTGCTTTCCCAGGTCATGGCAGAGAGCTGGATTGGAGGTGGAGCAGCCAGCACCGCAGGCAGAGGCCTACCCGCTATGCCACAGCACCAGCTCCCAAAACACTACTACACTGCATCTGAGTCCTGTCCCTATACCTGCTCAGTCGCTTCCAGTGGGTGCCCATCCCATTTAGGCTGAAGATCACAACCCTGCAAGGCCTGACCCAGCCTGCTCTTCCAGCTTCAAAGCACTTGAACATTGTATCAGCTACACCTCCCTGAGAGCAAAAGCTGGAGGTGACCTCTGTCCGCTTACAACTGGAGAAAAAAATATGTGAAAGACATCTTGGGGCCGGCGCCGCGGCTCAATAGGCTAATCCTCCACCTAGCGGCGCCGGCACACCGGGTTCTAGTCCCGGTCAAGGCGCCAGATGCTGTCCCGGTTGCCCCTCTTCCAGGACAGCTCTGCAGTGGCCTGGGAGTGCAGTGGAGGATGGCCCAAGTGCTTGGGCCCTGCACCCCATGGGAAACCAGGAGAAGCACCTGGCTCCTGCCTTCAGATCAGCGCAGCGCACCAGCCATGGTGGCCATTGGATGGTGAAACAACAGCAAAGGAAGACTTTTCTCTCTCTCACTATCCACTCTGCCTGTCAAAAAAAAAAAAAAAAAAAAAAAGAAAAAAAGAAAAGAAAGACATCTTGGGCAGGACTAATAAAAAGCAGTGGCTTACCGGTGTGAGTCCCAGCTGCTCTGCTTCTGATCTAGCTCTCTGCTGTGGCCTTGGAAAGCAATGGAAGATGGCCCAAGTCGTTGGGCTCCTCCTGCACCCATGTGGGAGACCCGGAAAAATCTGGCTCCTGGCTTCAAATTGGCTCAACTCCTGCTATTGGGGAGTGAAGCAGCAGATGGGAGACTTCTCTATGTCTCTCCCTCTCTGTAACTTTACCTGTCAAATAAATACATCTTAAAAATAAATAAATACACCGGCGCCGCGGCTCACTAGGCTAATCCTCCGCCTTGAGGCACCAGCACACTGGGTTCTAGTCCCGGTTGGGGCGCCGGATTCTGTCCCGGTTGCCCCTCTTCCAGGCCAGCTCCCTGCTATGGCCCGGGAGTGCAGTGGAGGATGGCCCAAGTGCTTGGGCCCTGCACCCGCATGGGAGACCAGGAAAAGCACCTGGCTCCTGGCTTCGGATCAGCGCGGTGCGCCAGCCGCAGCACGCCGGCTGCGGCAGCCATTGGAGGGTGAACCAATAGCAAAGGAAGACCTTTCTGTCTCTCTCTCACTGTCCACTCTGCCTGTCAAAAAAAAGAAAATAAATAAATAAATAAAAACTCACAACACACATCAGTGCCTGAGTTTCAGTCCCAGGTCCGCTCCTGTCTCTAGCTTCCGCTAATGTACACCCTGAAGGGCAGCAGGTGATGACTCAAGTGATTGTCTTCCTACCATCCACGTGGGAAACCTGGATTGAGTTCCCCGATCCCGGTGGTGGGCACTGGGGAAGTGAACCAGCAGATGGGAGCTTGCTGGCTCTCTACTTCTCTAACAAATAAAAGGAGTACTTTTTTAAAGAAAGCATTGTTGGAAAATAGTTAAACCATGGAAACTTTCATGCTTTATTCCTCTCTTACTAATGTTCTCTTTCCAAATGCAGACCACTTCAGAACCTTGATACTTAAAATAATGGGCTAAGGGCTATGCAAATGAAGCCAGTGTAAGAATGGGTGGACATTTTCTGGAAATCGTTCCTGCTCAGTTATGGCTGTAGCTCCCCAGTTGGTTGGCAACCTCACACATAATGCCGATGCACCAGCCATCCCCAGTTATAAATCACTAGCATGTATTGAACAACACACCAGCCTGAGAGACTAACAACAAAGTTTCACAAAGTGGCTCCTAAGAGAGATGATGAAGAGGAAACGCGCAGGTGTCTGGTGCAGTGGCAGGGACATCTACATCCTAGATCAGCATGCCTGGTTTCAAATTCCAGCTCTACTCTGATTTCTGCTTCCTGCTAGTGTCTACTCTGGGAGGCAGCAGATGATGGCCCAAGCACTCGGCATCCTGCTACTTCTGCCTACAGCACTCGCATCCCATATGGGTGCCAGTCCAAGCCCCAGCTGCTCCACTTTTGATCCAGCTCCCTGCTAAATGGCCCAGGAAAGCAGTGGAAGATGGCCCAAGTGTTTGGGCCCCTATACCAATGTGGGAGACCCGCAAGAAACTCCTGGCTCCTGGCTTCAGATGAGCCCAGCTCCACCCATTGCGGCCAATTGGAGAGTGAACCAGCAGATGGAAGACCTTTGTCTCTGTCCCTCTTTCTGTCTGTAATTCTGCCTCTCAAATAAATAAATCTTTAAAAAAAAAAAAATCAAATTTATATAAAATTAATCACTTTAAAGTGAGCAATCCAGTGACATCACATTACACAGCCGCCACTCACATCCTAGTTCCAAACCTCCTCCTCCTTAGCTTCAAGCCCATTTCCTCACCTGTGCACTCAGGTGACAAATGAGAACTCAGCCTTCAGTGGGGTCGTGACCAGACACAACCACGGCAGGTTCCGGAGGCAGAGCACCCTGGAGCTGGCCTAGGCCTACCACGCGAGCAAGGGGCTGGAGCTCAGGGGAGTTCGGGACAACAGCATTTCACTCAGCAGAGCAGCCCAGGCTGTTGTGGTCCATTCCCGGGATAGATTGGTTTGGGATGCAGGTTTCTGTCCTTCCTAGCACTTCAGAAACTTCACCACACCACGGTGCACTGCGAGAGGGCAGGGAGGGACGATGTGTCTCAGGCCGAGCCCACTGGGAAGCCCTGGTCCCTGACCCCAACGTGGTGAAGGGCTCTCGGCCTCATGTGCAGGAAGTGCTCTGTGAAGGCCCTGCTAGGCCAGGATTCTTACTCGGGCACCTTGGGTAGACGGAAAGAACCTGGGTAGGGCCATTCTCTAAGCAGATGTAGCGGGCATAGAATAGCCTTAGAAATCCTTCTCACGCAACTCCATTTTCTCCCATGGAGCTTTCCACTGAAGCTACTGTTCATAGTTTGTATAAACTAGGCCATCCTTTGGGCCTGCATTGTGGCATAGCAGATAACGCCACAGCCTGCCATGTTGGAACCCCATATGGCCATAGGTTTGAGTCCTGGCTGCTCCACTTCTGATCCAGCTCCCTGCTAATGACCTGGGAAGGCATCAAAAGACAGTCCAAGCACTTGCTCCTCTTCACCCACCTGGGGGACCCAGATAAAGCTCCTGGTTCCTGGCTTTGACATCTGGGGAGTGAACCAGCATATGGAAGATCTCTCTCTCTCTCTCTCTCTCTGTCCTACTCTCTGTGTAACTCTTTTAAATAAATAAATCTTACTGAAACAAAACAACAACAAAAAACAACTATGCCACCCTCATAACAGTCTCTATGCCACCCAACTAGGAAGATAGCCTGGTTAGATAGTTCCAGGGAGTAAGCCACAAACCATGCTGAGAGAGTGCCGGGCTTACACAAGATGGGATCTAGATGGTGCCAATGGAGACCCACCAGCTACCTCACTAAAAAGGGACCAGAAGCAAGGGGTGCTCCTTGTGGTGCCAGGGATCTGCCTACGCGGGTCTGCAACGCCTAGTCTTGTATTCCACTCACTGTGAATGCAGCACTCAACGTCCTTACAGTAATTGATGCAAGGTGGGGAGAGGCACAGGTATGGAAAGACTTGATTCATATCCTAGTTCCTGGAGACCTTTCTCTGCTCCCTTTCTAACTTTACTTGGCTCTCTTGACAAAAGGCCTGGTATCCAAATTGCGATCATAATGAAGTGCCTTTGTGGAAACACAATCCACCAATAAACACAGTCACTCCTTGGTACAGAATGATCCAGAAAGAAACCAAACAATGAGGAAGATAAAACCAACACATTGTGGAGTGTTGGGTGAGGGTAAGACTTCAGAGAATTGAGTCAGGCCAGGGTGCCTAGGGCAGAAGCAAGGGGATCCCCATCCTGAGTTATTAATTCATATATTTATTTTACAACCTCATTCAGAGAGCTGGAAAAAGAGAAAAAATATATAATAAGGTACAACAAAACATAAAACTATTTAACTTTACATAACATCTGAAGTTAAACATTTTAAAACTGGCTTTTGTTCCCCTATCCCTTAAAATTAAATATGAAGCTCAGGGCCTTAACTAGGACAGAGAAGAGAGATGCGTTAGAGCACAAGGCGAGGCAACAGGCAACCCCTCCATCAGTGAGAATCTACTGCAAGCAACAGGCACGCCTGACAGTGCTTTTCTAATAAAATACTTATTTTTATTTACTTTTTCATTTTATTTATTTGAAAGGCACAGAGGCAGACAAACAGAACAAAAGAGATCTTCCATCTCCTGATTTGCTCCCCAAATTCCCACAACAGCTGGGGCAGGGCCAGGCAAAAGCCAGGAGCCCAGAACTCCATCTGGGTCTCCCATATGGGTGGCAGGGACCCAACTACCTGAGCCATCACCCACTGCCTCCCAGGGTCCACAGTGACAGGAGGCTGGAATTGGAAGCAGAGCTGGGACCCCAACCCAGGCATATGAGATGTGGGTGTGTCCCAAGTGGTATCAAGTGCAGCACCAAATGCCTACACTGACCATCCATTCTGCAGTACCAGGAATGGGCCAGAGGGCATCTGTGGTCCCCAGTATTTGTCCAGACTGCCTCCTACTTATTGCTGTGACCTGCTGTTACTTTAATCCAGCTGGGACCTCCAGAACAAAATTTGCCATCCTCCTTTCACTCCTCCAAGCCAAGAGGCCCTGCCCTCTAGCCTCCTCCCACTATGGCTCAAGCATATAAAGTGGGACCAGCCTGTGGTCCGAGATCTCCAGGTCGGTAGACGTCCTCATCTGACCTGAAAGACCAAGTGTAAATCAGCTGGGTCTTACCAACCTAAATCTACAAATGAATTGATCACCTCTAGGATTTCATGACTACTACTCTGACTGCCCTCATTGATGAGGCACCACAAAGAAAGGCAAGGCTGCATTCAACTAGGAAGAATCTCACAGAAGCCGGCACTGGAGATGCCAACAGACACCCGACAGCGAGGGAAGGGGGCAATAGCTCTGTGCTGGGGGACGGGGCCCACAGGCAGAGCAGATCCAGAATCCCGGCAGCCTGGGACTGTCCTAGAAACTACAGCAGTAAAAGGCCCTGGGGTTTGGAAACAAAACAAGCCTGAGTTGAGTCCCACCACCATCACTTTCTGCCACATTACCTAATTTTGCTGAACCTCTTCTCCCCTACAAAGTGGAATACAAGCTCTGGGGTAGCTGTGCTAATTGCATTAAGTAATACCTGTGAAATATGCCTTGCAACAGGTGGCTTTCGAACTACTGAGCAGGAAGTATAGAGTGAACTGAAAACTTTTTTACCTGATAAGCCTGTCCACACGTGTAAATATATACCATTGAAACAAAGGGTTTACAAAAACGATACCTCACCACCCAGGAGTCACCTGGTCTCTTCTACTTCATCATTAATTAAAATGTTAGTTGTAATTTACTATATTATTTTCATAACTAATGGGTAGCTAGCTTTAAAAATACACTCCTAGAAATCATACAGCTCTCAGTTATTACGATTATTAATATGATTCTCAGGTACACGAATTTTCACACCAAGGCAACCAAGAGGTCAAGGTTATTAGGTCAAGCCCTGGAGAGCCCTGTTGCCAAGGAAACACAGGGGCTACGTCAGGATCAATCCAACCACGCGCTGCAGCCCTCTGGAGAAAAGCAATGGTTCATTGCCCTGTCAATCACATCTTACATTGGGGGGGCCGCCTCCAGGCTCGGAAGACCCGCCTCCTCGCTAAGGTTAAATCAGGAAGGCAGGGATTGGAGGGCAGGAGGTGACGTCACTTTAGGTGGCCTTCCTCTCGAGCGCCCGTCGGGAGGGGCTCGAAGTTCGCAGGGCTCCCGATCACCCAGCCCTTGCAAGTACTATGAGGTCGGTTAGCTACGTGCAGCGCGTGGCGCTGGACTTCAGCGGGAGCCTCTTCCCCCACGCAATCTGCCTGGGAGACGTCGATAACGATACGGTAGGTGCGTGCGCACTGCCGGACTCGCAGTCCGGCTCTGCGCAGGCGCGGGGCGGAGCCGGGCGGAGGCCCGGGGAGGGGGCCGCCGAGCCTGCCGCAGGAGCAGCGAGCATGCGTAGTGGGGCCCGCCTGCGGGACTGGCGGCGGGCTTTGATTGATAGCTTAGATGGCAGCCGTCGTCACGGGGATAGCTGGCCTGGCACCCCAAGAGTGATTTTTCAGGGGGTAGATAGTTGGTCCCTCCTCCTGGTTCTGGAACTGGTTCATAATAGGAGCCTGGTAAACGCTGGTGGCCACTGGCTCAGGGCTTCTGGGGCCGGGCCTCACCTCACGGACAGATCGCTTCGCTGTCAGAGCCTCGGATTTTCTCCCAGCCGTTCGTTGGTCGCGCAGTTCGCGCTCGATAACTGCTTCGTGCACTCGGCCATCTGTACCCGGCCAGCCACGGATGGAAAACATTAGCTAAAGAAGCACACTGGCTCTGTAATGGGTGTGTGTGTGTTTAGGCGGTTCTTTCCAGCCACTATCCCCTAAACAGTACAACGCAGTAATAAACTGTGGGACGCTTCGTGTCAGGGTCGCGCTCTGAGAAGCGTGTTTTGAGCTGATCTTGCCCTCCTGCAAACATCATGGTGTGCTCACAGAGATTAGGCGGTCCAGCCCACCACACGCCTAGGCTGTATGGTGTACAACCTTCACACACGTGGCCTGTGTAGCTCGTGACTGTACTTACATAGCACACGCATTAGGTATTAGAAGTAATCCAGAGATGATTTGAGGTAGAGTGGAGAATGCCGGAGGTTATTTGCAAATGCTATGCCATTTTATGTAAGGAAATTGTATCTGAGGAGTCTAAGGGAGTCCCGGAACCAGTGGCCTGCAGATACTGAGGGATCGCTGTATATTATACTACTATTTTTTTTTCTCGTTTGAGTGGTAAACTCTGTTGTTACACGTTCCATGAGGATATAAACTTTTAAGTCTTTTTTTTTTCACTGTTGTGTTCACTTAGAACAGTGCAGGCATGTAATGAGCACTATTGAGTTGTTCTAATGCGTGAGGATTGTTGTAAGAAGCGAATGTGAGGGGCCAGTGTCTGGGTGTAGCAGATAAAGCCACCACCTGCCACACCGGAATCCCACACGGGCTCCGGTTGTGTCCCAGCTGTTCCACTTCTGATCCAGCTCCCTGCTAATGGCCTGGGAAGAGCAGCAGAAGATGGCCCAAATATTTGGGCCACTACCACCCGTGTGGAAGAACTGGATGATGTTCTTGGCTCCTGGTTTTGTCCTGGACCGGTGAGCACTGGTTGTTGAAGCCATCTGGGGAGTGAACCCAGTGGATGGAAGATCTCTGTCTCTTACTGTCTTTCAGTAACTCTTAAAAAAAAAAAAAGAAGAAGAAAAGAAGAAGAAGCAAATGTGATCATGTGTTTCAAAGCAATTTGAAGAGCTTTGCCCGTTATTGGCAAAGATAACTGAAAGAGGGAAACATTTGGCTACTGGGGAGCACAAGGACAACTGATGTCAGCCTAATAAACCCCCAGTCTCCTGGTTTTTTGACAGGGACTTATTTCCTGCTAAGGAGCGGGAGAAGCCAGGGTTAGAATACGCACACTGTGTGACTGCACTGAAGCAGATCATAGAAGGCCCTTAGCACCTTTCTCCTGGTGCATTTCTGACCCCTAGTATACCTGCACCCAAGGGAGGGACCACCCAAGCACAGAGAAGCAGACTGGCTGCTGGAGGGCACATGGCTGGCCCGCAGATCTCCTCTCCCAGGACACCTGCCGTTGCCTCCCTCTTCACCCGGCTGAGTCCCGTCTGCTTGCTCCCTGTACATGCGACACTCGGGGGGTTTTATTCCTGTGTCTCTCTCTGTTCAACCACAGCAGGGAGTCTGTGGGATCTATGAGAGGACCTCAAAAACTTCATGGACAAGTGGAATTTAAAAAATAGGTTTTTCTGGGGCCAACATTGTAACATAGGGGGTAAAGTCGCTGCCTGCAATGCCAGCACCTGGTTTGAGTCCTGGTTGCTCCACTTCCAATCCAGCTTCCTACTGATGTACCTGGGAGAGCAACAGTGATGGCTCAGTACTTGGCTCCCTGCCACCCAACTGGGAAGCCAGACTGTGCTCCTAGCTTTGACCTGGTCCTGCCCAGTCTGTTACAGGCATTTGGGAGAGTGAACCAGCAAATGGAAGATCTCTGCCTGCCTTTCAAATAAAATGAAAAAATTTTTTATTTAATTAAAGGAAAGTGAATTGTTATCAATAAATCCCAACTTGTTTCTTCTTTTTTTTTTTTTTCAACTTGTTTCTAACTTTCTCTTACCATTGAGGTGTTATCTCTTTGTTGCCTTTAGAATTAAATCTTTTGAGAACCTAGCATTAGTTTCTTCTATTTGAGGGACAAATAAGAGTTGTTGGCTGTGGCCGGCGCCACAGCTCACTAGGCTAATCCTCCACCTAGCGGTGCTGGCACACCAGGTTCTAGTCCCGGTCGGGGCGCCAGATTCTGTCCCAGTTGCCCCTCTTCCAGGCCAGCTCTCTGCTGTGGCCTGGGAGTGCAGTGGAGGATGGCCCAAGCACCCATAGGAGACCAGGAGAAGCACCTGGCTTCTGCCTTCGGATAGGCGCAGTGCGGTGGCGGCCATTGGAGGGTGAACCAACGGAAGGAAGACCTTTCTCTCTGTCTCTCTCTCTCAATGTCTAACTCTGCCTGTCAAAAATATATATATATATATAAATAAATAAATAAGGAGCTGGCATGGTGGCACAGCAGTTTAAAGCCCTGGCCTGAAGCACCAGCATCCCATATGGGCACCAGTTGAACCCCAGCTGCCCCATTTCTGCTCCAGCTCCCTGCTAATGCACCTAGGAAAGCAGCAGAGGATGGTCCAGGTCCTTGGGCCCCTGCACTCATGTGGGAGACCTGGAAGAAGCTCCTGGCTCCTGGCTTCAGATCAGCTCAGCTCCGGTCCTCACGGCCATTTTGGGAGTGAACCAGTGGATAGAAGACCCCTCTCTCTCTCTTCCTCTCTCTCTACCTCTCTGTAACTCTTTTCAAATAAATAAATACAATAAATCTTTTAAAAAAATTAATAAATAAATACAGAGCCTGAGGTTAGAGTCTCAGATGGTTTTCAAAACATGTCCCATTTGTAATGGACAGAGTAGAAGAGCCAAAGTCAGTTATATAGGGTTTAGAGGTTTTCAGGTACCAGAGTTTGCTGGGATGGGTTACAGGTTCTGTGTAGTCCCTGTCCCTCTGACTTCTCCTACCTCCAGCACACACACACCTCAAAGGAAAACTATGACTATGTTGGTCCCAAAAGGTTTTTTTTTTTCAGTTACTGATTTTTTTGGTAAAGTTTTAATTTATTTTTGTTTGAAAGGCAGATCAATAGAGAGAGACAAAGAGACAGAAAAAGATCTTCCATCTGCTGGTTCATTCCTCAAATGCCTGCAACAGTGAGGACTGGACCAGTCCAAAGCCAGCCCAGAACTCCATCTGGGTCTCCCAAATAGATAGCGAGCACCCAAGTACTTGAGCCCTGTCTGCTGCCTCCCCGGGTGGACATCAGCAGGAAGCTGGACTGAGGAGCAGAGCAAGGACTTAAACCTTAGGCACTCGATGTATGGGGCACAAACCGCTTAACCTCTGCACCAAATGCCTGCCCCCTCCCCCACCAAATAATTTTTCTCAAGTTAATAAATTAAAAGCTGATGCCTTGGGGTTCCCCCAGGTTGGGCCAACTAGAGAAAAGCTTTCTGTTTTCGAGCATGATCTCATCCTAACCCTCTCTTCTTTCTCCACTTGAAGTTGAATGAACTGGTCGTGGGAGACACCAGCGGAAAACTGTCCGTGTATAAGAAGGACGACAGCCGGCCATGGGTCACCTGTTCCTGCCAGGGGATGGTTAGTATTCCCCTCCCTGGATCTTGGGCCAGTGGAACCTCTCGTGCGCAGGGACCGTAAGGGCAGGTCCCACACAGGAGCTCACTGGTGCATCCTGACTGTCCTGCTCCTCAGCCCACCTACGCGGTCACACTTCCTGTGACTCAGGACAGTAGCCCATAGGCAGTGCCCTTGTTTGTGCCTGTCCCCCCACCGCAAGAGGCTGGATGTCTTTTATGTTGTAGAGTGCCCTTTGGTACTTTATGGGAGAAGATGCTCTGATCTTGTGTAGTCAAGAAATGGGGGCAGTCATTTGAGTGCATCCAGAATCTGCTCGTCTAGCTATATTAGATGTAAGGATTTTTCTTTGTTTTAAGCCCAAATTGCCCTAACTACATCAGGTCTTCATCTTGCTGTCTGGGTAAATTGGGCCTGTCATACAAATTCGGTTAATAAAGACCCAGTGTACGGGGCGAGCATTGTGACACAGAAGGTTAAGCCACAGCCTGGGATGCCTGTAGCCCGCACCAGAATGCTGGGTGTAGAGTTCTGGCTACTCCGCTCCTGGTCCAGCATTTGTGCTAAAGCATCTGGAAAGGCAGCCAATGATGACCCAAGCACTGAGGTCCCTGGCACCCACGCAGAGACTTGGATGGAGTTCCAGGCTTCTAGCTTCAACCTGGCCCAGCCCTGGCTGTCGCTGGCATCTGGGGAGTAAGCCAGCAGAGGGAAGATCTCTCCCTGTCTCTCCTTCTCTCTGTCACTCTGCCTTTCAAGTGAATGCTTTTTTCCTCAATGACTAGGGTCGGTCACGTGGCTCTCCTTCTTGCTCTGCAGAGATGAGGGAGCGCTGGCCTCCCTCGGTGCCTCCCTGACCCTCCTTTCTCTCTTGCAGCTGACTTGTGTT